CTTCATCACTAAGATACCATCTAAATATTATTATACTGCACCTGCACCTTACCTATTAAGGTATGCAATTTATCACATATATACACATACATAACATAACATTTGCATGTATCCTCTTACGTTCATCATGTCTTTGCACATATATCATCCATGTATATTATTTTATCATGCATACACTAGATATTCAAATATTAATCACGTATAATTTTACCTCAACTCAGATTGTCTGAAACCGGGTTATAACACTTCTATCCCTTCTACTACATGTGGTCTTCTAGAGGAATAGGTACCTGAAAACCCAACTTCTAGTGTTCCTAGCGACCAACAGATGACTTATCTTAAGGAGTCACTCGAACAAACTAGAGTAAAAATTCCTTTTCGTACCTCTAGTTGTGGTGAGTTTGACATCCTTGCTAAAGCTGAAAGACTCGAAGCACTCAAGGATGAGGAAGAACTCAAAATTCAACGACAATAGACTGAGGCCAGCCTAAAGTTGGCCAAGTCTGTTGCTACTCAAGTTCATCCAAAGATATCGTCTAAAAAGATGGTGAACGATGTCAAGGCCCATGCTAACTTGCTTTCAATTGCAGAAGTTGAACATGAAAAGGCAATGAAGCTGAACGATCGAGACAGGAAATGGAGTGAAGATCGTCTTAATAAGAGAATAAGTCCTCACCGCATCTCAAGCGTCACAATCAATGAATGAATGAAAGATGGTGGACTTTTCATCTCCATGCTCATCACTAGAAACAACCTTGAAACTGTTACTAAGTATCCTTCCTACCTTGGACAATACGACGACAATAAATTACTGGAAATATGCCAAGCCATTCAGCACTCAAAGTCAAGGCATAAGACAATAATTGAAGAAATCCTCAGTGAGCTGATCAAGAAGATGTCCAAACTCGTTTATGTTCCTTCAAAGCCAATATTGAAGAAAGGTGGAAGAAGAAAACCTTCAGATCCTTACGATGAACCAACTCTGAGGAACGAACATGAAACAAAGCTCTCCCTTGAGGAAGTCCTGAAGGATTCGAAGAATCCAAACATCTCTATGTTGAACCTCTCTTTGCCAGCAAAGGTTCCTTACATACCCAACACTGTGCATATAAAGCCTGAGTTTGGATTTATATTCCTTGACTATGAAGGCGAACACAGCTTTCAGAGAGTGTCTGAGTTTGGTCTTTGTCCTATAGAACATCTTGATTATCTAAGATATTGGTTGGACAATGATTTTTATGGTGAAATGATAGACCGCAGGATCAGAAAAAGAATTTATACGTCGAAAGATGCTCGGAGAAGAAGTACCTGGTTACATCGATTTCAGCGACTTAAATTAGTTAGAAATTTCTATCTTGTAAATTTTATCTTTCATTGTAAGTCTTATTTCTCTATGTCTTTTCTTTCAGTGTACAACTTATATGTAATAAGTCTAGAATGTACTGACTGTAATACTTGTCATTCTAAGTATTTCATCAGTATCACTGAAAAATATCCTTGAAAAGAGTAATAGGGACACATGTCTATGAGTTCTAGTATGCTCTTACAGTCACTGGCAATCTTCAGTCAGTGAATATGCTTTCAGTTTCAATTTCCCTTCTTGTACTTTTTCTTAAACTTGTAACTTAAGAAAACTTATATAGTAAAAACTGCATCACTAAAAAAGATCCCAAAATAGTTAAAAGAGACATATATCTAATATGTAACTTTTCCTTACTATTAAACCTTAAGGCAATTTTCTTTATGTTGTTTTGTTATCATCAAATAGGGGGAGATTGTTGATCCTCTCTTTCATTGATTTGATGATATTCTCTACCTTTCGAAGTATTATTGTTTCTGTCTTTTTAGTTCCAGCGATCATCACTGAGTATATTTAGTGATAGCTAAAACATGCATTTTAATCCTACAGCGACAGCGATACTTCAAGAAGACAAAACTCACACCCAAGAACCTTTAGTGAATGTCGAAGAATGAAATAAAAGATTAGTGACTGACGCGTTCGTGATCTTATGCGGTATTCAGTGATTACAACCTGGTCAACATACGTGTGAAAACTGCATAAGCCTTAGTGAATGCTGAAGAGACCTCTAACGTTATTTCAACATTCAACAATCAAATGAAGCTTGTCATACATGATTGTTTTTGTCTTGTCCTTCCACACACAAAGGACAAACCCAGACCCTTTCAAGAGTATAGTATTGCATGGAGCCGACTAGTCGAATCTAGTGCCCACCAACTCCATGAAAGGATGTCTGCTCATGAATAGACAATAGTACTATTCCCTGTTGCAAAGGACAAGCTTTTCTCTAAAAGCTTGACGCGTGTTCTAACCCTTCTAAATTGCATTTAATGTAATGCGTATAAATAGTTGAGTGATCTCCTCATGCACTACATCTACAACACACAAAAGAACACATACGCTTATCTTCAAGCAAGTTAGAATTTCTCTCTAATTCTAAAGTTCTTACCCAAAAAAGAACATTTTTTTGTCTTTATCTTATTCGACAAATCTCTTATATTTGCTAAGTATATTTTTGTGTAATCTTAGATTGTTTTACATAGATTATCTTTACCTTTTCTATTTCCCCAAACAATATGTAAAAATCTGTATTGATTCTTCTATATCAATATATATATTTAAAACTATAAGTTTTCTATGTTTGTATTCATCCCCCCCACCCTCTACAAATTATTCCTCTAAACTTTTGTAGACCCGGTTGGGACCAACATGACCCAACACCGACTCCTATGCCTATGGATCCATTGTTTTATAATCTATGTTACATGACCTCAATCAAAAGATCAACATACTCAAAGCAGGTAACTTAAAAAATAAATATGTTATAATTGCACATAACTCTAAAAGCCCGACATAGAGTAAAATTCAAACCAGACAAATGTCCCATAAGTCTCATTTGAGTCAAAATAGGGCCAATAGTCCAGCCACACAATTGACTATGCAATAAAATTCATCATAAGCAATAAAACGTATTTAAACAATGTTTATACAACTACATGCTCCAAATGAATGATTAACTCAAAAACTCATCATTGGTTAGGACAAATCATTTTCCAATTGAAATCATACAATTTACATTCCAAAATGCCTCATAACAAAACAATATGCGTTTTTCAAACCAAATACACCAAAAATGCATTTAACCACCAAATAATCTTCATCAATAAGATCAATCATCAAAAGAACCCACACTTGTGATTTATTTATCAAAATGACCTGAAGCTCCAAATATATATTTTTCAAGATTTTATAAAACCAAATGTATAAAAGATGTAAATCTATTAAGTAATCAACAACATTTGATAAATTTCAAGGTAAACACTTCAAGACTCTAAAATGAACATTTTTTGGCATGTACAAATTTCTTAAAAAGTAACTTGAATTTACCTTGCTATGTTAGTTTAAACCTAGATCCCGAAAACCCAAATTCTAGCTTCCATGGATGTAGATTGAGATCCGAAGCAAGAACCAAATCTTCTAAAAGCAACAATTCAAGCCTATAAAGACACCAAAAATAAGCACTGGATCAGTTAGACCTTTAACTGCCAATATATAATACCCAAATGGCTCATTTACAATCAATAAGATACTTTAATAATTCAATTAAATGACCGAAGATGGAGAATTTGTTGGATTTCAACGACTTTCAAGGGATCCGAAAAATTAAGAATAGCATTTTCCACCTATAGTTGACAGATGATACTAAAAGTTAATTTTCTTGAATAAATTTTCAATGGATCTTCAATACTAAATATAGCTTTTTGATGGATCTTCTACCAAAACAAAAAAACGAGAGAAAAAAAAAGGGTGGGGTAAAATGAATTTTGGTTACTCTTGGTATAGATGGAAATCATCAATAACATCGAGGGGTTTTTGACTATCCATTGAAAAGTCATAGAAAATCCGTCTATTTTTATGAAAAATAAAATCCTTTGAAAGTTATCTCGTCGAAATTTCCCTTGTAGATACCAAATGTTGTATTAGATAGGGTGGGCGTAGAATTTGAGCTTCGCGGTGATGTCAGTAAGCCTTCTAGATGACATTTGGTACATACAGATTAATCGTTGATGAAAGCTTCCATTTTGAGGTAATTAATGCTTCATAATTTAGAAGCAATGTTGCATGCATGTCTTCATTTATTCCCGTTATAGAATACAGTTGTATATGCTGCATAGATCCAAAGAGTGGTTTGAAGGCAACAAATCATTAGTCTGAGGTGGGTGTTACTTGAATCGGACTCCTCTGGTTCCCTGTAGTTCTTTCTAGGGTTTCCAACTTATGATAAAATTAAATAGAAAAGAAATGATAAGGGAAGTAGAAGGAAAGGACCAATCAAAAATCGGAAAGACGTCAGTAAAATACTGTAGACAGGCAGACTTAAGTCTTGATAAACGAAAAAAGAAAAATGATCATCATCATTGATAGACAGTTTCGTGCAAAACCAACAAAAGTGACTGCGTATCCACAATCCTAAACCAACCCACTTTAATCTCATCTTTCATATATATAACATGACTTTCTGTTGTTAACCTCCACTTCAAGCTGCACCAGTTTTTCCTTTCTTTAATTTTCTCTATTGAACTTTATTTTTGGTCATAGTTATCGATCGGTTGTAGATGGAGGAAATCGGAAGGTCATGCCCTAGAGGCCATTGGAGACCTGCCGAAGATGAAAAGCTTCGCCAGCTTGTACAACAGTATGGTCCTCAGAACTGGAACACAATTGCTGAGAAGCTTCAAGGGAGATCAGGTATGGTTTGTGTGTGTGTGTGTGTGTATATTCCTTTTTAAAGCTATTAATTAGTTTCAGTGTTTTCTGTGTTTCTAACTATCTTCAGTTCCTAGATTATGTTATCGATGCTTATATTGATGGTTACTTTAGTTCTTCTACCATCAAAAAATTAATATTTCGATTAATTTATATACTGCTTTTCTTGAAAATCCATCTGCGTGTTAAATTTATTATTTGCCTTTTTTCTTCAGTATATGCATATATTTAGTTCTTACTTTTGGCATGTAGAGCCAATAGGTACAGGCTCCTTCCTTTAGAAACCGATAACAATGTTGTTAGAGTTACTTTAGTTTATTGAAATAAAATCATGTCGATCGTTGGTTTTGGAAAATTACCCCCTTTAAATTACTTTGAATGGAAATGAGATGGATCATAGTTCTAAAAATTATGAACTTGTAAAAGAAAAACTCTATCTTATGATTAATTGGAACATTTATATATATGCAGGAAAGAGTTGCAGATTGAGATGGTTTAATCAACTTGATCCTCGAATAAACCGAGGACCATTTACCCAAGAAGAAGAAGAAAGGCTTTTGGCAGCTCATCGGTTACAAGGTAACAAATGGGCCCTCATCTCAAGGTTATTTCCGGGTCGAACCGACAATGCCGTCAAGAATCATTGGCATGTTATTATGGCACGAAAGCAACGGGAAAAATCCAAGCTTTTTGACAGCGGTTTTCACCAACGGCCCTTGAGCTCTGATGAAGATTCTAGCTCGAATTATTTTATGAAATACGAAAATGGAGGTAAGGAAAAGATTACTTCATGGAGTTGTATGATACCGTCAACCATGTCAGCAGCCGAAAGATCATCTTCAATAGAGTTTATTGGAAAAGAAGAAGGTAAAGGTTGCTTTAATTCTAGAATGTATCACCATAGCAATTCAGAGGTTTCAAATAGTTCACCAGACCATTCGTTTTTCCGTAATTATGTTGGAGTATATAGAGTCGCTAGTGACTGTCAAGCTCGCAAGAAGGCCACATTTTTAAGTCCCTTCGGAAGTTGTTGCCGTAACTTGCAGTCGCTGGTCAAAATCCGAGACACCATCCAGCAAGAAAGAGAAAATGATGAAACCATAGATCACAAGGACATACCCTTCATAGATTTTCTTGGTGTGGGAATTTCTTCTTGATTTCAAGCAAACATAAATGATCAGATATATGGGTTTTCAGGTCTGTGTGCATGTTAAATGCTAGAACAGGTTATTAACTTAATTTAAAGTTTCTATTTTGTAAGTTTCCTTCGGGACAACAAAATGGATCCATAATACAACAAAAAAAAATTAAGTTATAATAAGTTTATATAAAGATTTTGGATATTTTAAAAAGTTTTTAAAACATTTTTGAAACAAAATGGCTTATAAAATAAGTATCATATAAAAAAATGTGTTTATAAGATAATTCTTAAAAGTGTCCCGTAAGAAAGACCAATAGAACACTTTGTTTTAAAACACAAAAATATCCTAAAAAGCTTGTATATAAATTATTACTAACACTTTTAAATAACACGCACACACATATTTCACTACTAGAAAACTGGGCATTTCCGGCGGATTTTCCGGCGGAATATTTCCGGCGGATTTCCGGCGGTATTTTAAAAAGTCAACTTTTGTTGACTTCCGCCGGAAATCCGCCGGAATTACACCGGAAAAGTTAAACCGGTTATATTTCCGGCGGATTTATTAATTTTGGGTTAATTAATCTTTAAAAAGTAATTAATGTT